CGAGCAATAAGACCACACCGGGAACCAAGACCGGTGAACAACAAGGAGGAGTCAACCATGATCACGACAACTTTGTTACATATCTACAACGCAACGGATCGAAATTCGAAGTTACTACGTAAGAATAGAATTAGGACGATTTTCACACCTACGACGAAGATACGCCAGTTACTACCAAACCCCAAAGACCAACTAATCCCACTACATACACCATGAGGCTACTTGATTCCTTGCGGAGATTGTTCCAGGATATTGGGATCCGTCAAATGGGCACACACCATCTGGTGGCAAAATTTATAACTCGAATGAGGGAAAAATTTACATAGGAACTGTGCACGCAAATTTTAAAATTGTTTATTAAAATAATAAAACACGTTAAAAAAGTAAACATTTTTTGGATGATGGAGTCTACGAAGTTTTCTTCTAAAGTTAAATCAAATAAAAAGTTAATATGATCAGTGAAAAGCTGCAATAGCACTTCAGACATAGATCTTCGCTCTTCACCTACATTAACTAGTTTCCAATAAAAACTAACCGTTTTATATATGTAAAAAATATATTCAGAAAATTAGAGAAAAAAGTAAACTAATAGAAGCTTGGATGAAAGCAGTAGGTATCAAAGAAGTAAATTCCGGAATAAAAATTTGTTCACGTCATTTTAATGCACATGATTATATTTCAGCAAGTAATTACCATCAGCCATAACCTTAATATTTAAAACTAGAATCATACTAAAATTATAAAGTGAGAAATTATTTTTTCCTGTGTAATTGATTTAACACAATTCTGATGATACGATATAAGTATTTTGAGGTTAAGAACCTACCTGCTGCAATACAACAAAGTTGCAATAATGTGTTTGCAACGTTCTCTTAAATCGGCTTTGCACGTGCAAGTCATTGATATGATATTGCTTAAATCACCCAAAATCACCTCACCAATTATATAACGTGAATCACTTTTTAAATCCGAAGTTTGTAAAAAGTAGGCAGTAAACTTGACGGAATTTGAAGGCTAGCTTCCGGATTTGTTATTTCCGAATTTTATAATGTGAGTGGCATTAACACCACGCTCACCTTCAACGAAATTTCCTTTCCGAGGCTTTGTATCAGCCTAATCACTTATCATTTTATCGTAATTTAAAAACTTGGAAATTGCACGATACACTATAGGAACTACAATAAATTTTCCCTAATCGGCGCCATGTTTTTAGGCTCCTCCCATTTGACGGATCCCAATACGTAGACATGATGAAACGCACGATCGCAACAAAGAAAAAGAAACACAAAAGACATTTGGGGTTACATCAAACAGACAAATCCGCTTTAGCAAAACATAGGATCTTCTTCGATTAAACGCATGTATTAGTACGCACGTCGGGCTATCACAATTTAGCTAGGAGAGAAGCCTTAGAAATTGCACAATATCTGGGTAGTATTAACAGGGAAGATGGATTAAAGATAAACAGAGCTTGGAAACCACTGCTAAGAAACAAACAAACAAACGAGGGTACAACCCAGCGGAATGAAACATGACGAGACTACTGTAAAAACACGCTTAAGATCCCACATGAACCATTTATCACCGATCATACATCGTGAAGCACTGAAGTTGCCATCTATTAAGCACAGCGAAACGTCTGCAATTATAATTCGACCATGACAGAAAAGCTCAGAAGCTCTTCATCATCAAGTGGTGAATTGTTAACTTGCAATTGGTTATTCAGTATTAAACCCCGTTTATTGTCTCTATTAATTTCTAGCATTTGTAGTAAAATTAATTTTAGGCGTTTATCCTGAATATGTGAAATTTTGAAATTGGAATTAAATTTATGATTATTATTTAACAGGTATTCAGCATACATTGAATCAAATTTTTTGTTTGAGAAACTTTTAAAATGTTTAGTGATTTCTTTTTGGAACATTACTCCCGTTTGTCCTATATAGGCCTTAACACAACTGCCACGATTTACTAATTAAACTCCTGAACTTAGATGTTTCGGGGTTTTACATTTGTTATTTAAATGTATATTTCCCTAAAGAATTGTTCGTTTTAAAAGAGATAAAAGTATTATTAATCTTTTGTTGATAACTAATAGTTTTCTCAAAATTTGTTTCTTGTTTTGGAAATATTCATTTGAAATTGTTTTATATTTGTTTGTGTCTTACAATTTTGTTTATGATATTTTTTTGATTGCCTTTATTTCTTTGCTATGTTTTATACAATTAATAGGCCATTGACTATTTTCAATATAATATAAGTAAAAGGCACTATTATGATGTTAAATGTTGAATTTTTTATTGTTTCATATGCACAATTAATTCCTAATGGTTATTAAATGGATAAATGTTAACAAATATAAAGGTGCGTTTTTGAGAACAAAGTACTTTGCACGTTTTTCGAGTTTTCGGCTGTAACTCAGAAAATATTATGAAACTTTATGTAGAAAATTTGTGGTAGAAAATTAAATTTCGTATAGAAATGACATACAGTGGATGTCACTTACTACGACCTTGGTTATAGCGACCATTGTGCTATAGCGACGTCATATGTAAGCCCCTTGAATTTAAAGCACACTTTAGTACAAAATTCATGTAGCTATAGCGACTTCGGATATAACGCCGAGTTCGGGTGTAGCGACTGTTTTTAATGAATCATTGGTAACAAATCCCTAGTAATCCGATTCAGATATAGCGACCGGAGTCGGTCGCTAAAGACACAAAGATCTTTCTTATCTTTTGTTTACATTCACACAGATAGTCAACAAGTGTGATGACCTTTACCGTTGTTTCTTAGTAGCAACTGTGTTTAGTAAACTTTTGAATAGGTGTGACTTCCCGATGTACATTTACTGTTAAAAAAAGGCGAAAATTGTTTCTAAATTGAAAAACAGTGTGTGTATCTCCTTTAACTTTGCCTGTAATGGCTTCTCGATATAACAACGAAATTACAGTGGTCCCTTCGTTGTCGTTATACCCGAAATCCACTGTATTTTAAAGTCAAAAACTTTTTTTTTAAACAAACTAAATGCATAAAACAATTAAGAAAGAGAATTGTAACTTTTTCCTTGGCGGACTTAGGTAAATATTCGGTATTGGTCTATAAAAAAAAAGCTTACGTAACCCTCGTTCAAATAGCGTTGTACAAAATTTTTACGTTAAAAATTGACTGAGATATAAACGTTCAAAGTCAGACTTTTTCAGTTTTTACCTTAGTTTCGTGTCATTGGAGTTCTTAAGCTGTATTGGAAACTGCAATATCATTCACAAAGGGCAGACAAGTAAAGTTCAAAATAAAAGACAAAGTTTACAAAAGGAACTTTAACGAACCTGTACGCCAACCATTTTCATAGAACAATATCATATTTTCGTCAGGTATTTTAAAATTGTGTAGGTACATTGCTTATAATAAGTTGTAGCGACCACGAGCGTGATTGTATGCGATCGGGCATACGTGTGTGTGATCGGCTTATCGATTCGCCGACTAGCCGCGGGCGCTTTTCTTCATGTGCGCCGTATATGTAAACGTGTGTGTCGTACCTGCGTTCCGGGAAAGCAATTAAACCGTTCAAGGAAAACGAGACTTCTCTGGACGGCTGGAGAACGTTCCCGAAAGGAGGCAAGGGAGTATAAAAAGGAATAGACGATCACCGAGGAAGAGAAGAAATAAATTGACCGTTGGAGAAGTGAATCAAGAAATAAATAGAACAATGAATAGTAACAGTAGTGTTAATAAATAGTTTTCTTCTTAAAAGTTCATTTGTTAAACCCACGAACATTATAAAGTAAAAGTACTACACAATTCCTATTATGATAATCTGCTTAATGACTAAACAGATATCAATATACATACTTACCCAATAGATCTACGTTTTTCTACTAAACTTCACCTGTTTAACACGATATTTTTTTGGGGTGTGTCCCAAAATATCGTTGAAGGTATTAAGGAGATTTTTATGAAAATAAAACACAATGATCTGTATCGATCAAAGTTTTAATTTGTAATGATTGATTTTGCAGAAGCTAACAAGAAAATATTTTCATTCGATCTAATCTTAGTTTCTTTAGACACAACATTTTCAAGGTTCATATTAGCGACATATTAGTCACTAAATACAACAAGTTTACTTAGCGAATTTTGCTCGTTTATCTTATTGTTAACTATATACGAGGGTGGATTGATAAGTTTCCGGCCTGACCAAGAAAAACAAGGTTTTTAAAAATTTTTTTTTTTTATTTCTCAACATAATCTCCTCCAAGGCTGATACATTTCTCATAGCGGTGTTCCAGTCTATTAATGCCATCTCTATAGACTGATTCGTCAAGCTCCTCAAAATAACCATTTACAGCTTCGATTACTTCTTCNNNGTGAAGATCTATGTCTGAAGTGCTATTGCAGCTTTTCACTGAACATATTAACTTTTTATTTGATTTAACTTTAGAAGAAAACTTCGTCGACTCCATCATCAAAAAAATTTTTACTTTTTTAACGTGTTTTATTATTTTAATAAACAATTTTACAATTTGCGTGCACAGTTCCTATGTAAATTTTTCCCTCATTCGAGTTATAAATTTTGCCACCAGATGGTGTATGCCCATTTGACGGATCTCAATAGTGGGTATATCCATCAATAAATACAACAAAATAATTTCGGTTACTAATACTAATATCAGAAGGAGATATAGGTCCACATACATCCGTATGGATGACATACAATTGTCTTTTAATATGGCTTTTATTTTTAGATTTCGCGAACGGTAATGTTGTTTGTTTGCTTTTTATAGAGGCTTCACATAAATTTGTAGGGTTAATATGCAAAATATAATTTGTATCTTCAATCATGCTTTTATTTTGTAGAACTAAAAATGTAGCTTTGCCAATATGCCCTAATCGTTCGTACCATATTTTATAACTATTTCTTTTGTGTGTTGTTAATACGTGACTTTTAGTGTTATTTACTATTTTAAAATATATAGTATATAAGTTATTCAAAAGTTTACCTGTTAGAATTTCTTTTCCGCCCTTATTTACATGTACACCATGTTTGTCAAAAATGACTGTCATGCCTGCCTCCTGTAGTCGCCATACTGACAGTAGGTTGTAGGGCACTTCTGGTACATATAAAACGTAAATAAATATACTGGTCAGTGTGTTGGCGTCAAATTGACGCCATATTGGGAATAGTATTTGTGCTCGTTTACAACGATTTTGCTCCAAAAGTTAATAAAGGTTCTTACAATAAAAAATTTCTCAAAGTTTAATGCACACACGCCTGTTTGATATACTACTACTTCACACTTCTCTCACCAGTACAACATGGCGTCGATTCATGACGTCATCAGCACTGGCCAGTACGTTGGGTTACATTTCGGAACACATCCTTGATATTTGCATACCTAAATTCAAGATAAGAAGACGTCCCTATGACGGACTTTACCAATATTATGATATTTAAACTTCCGGAGACGATTTTTTCAACTAATGACCGTTTATGCGGTTATTTTTATCGTATTTGTTTTGTTTGTATTACCATTGTATTAACTAAATAATCAGAAGAATTGAATAATACAATACAATTAGTTATTTAAAAAAATCAATTAATTGATAATTAATCGGGACAATCGATTATTTCGATTAACCGATTAATCAAGATAATAGATAATTTTTTTACAATCGACAATCGATTATTAAATTTAATAATTGCTAAGCCCATTTATAACATATCGCCCGAAAAATGTAGATATGTAGGTAATGTGATCAAGTACTGTAAACTAATTGTAAATCGTAACTAACATTGTATGCTATATAACGTGTATTACAGCTTATTTGCCCGTTATAACAGAATCAGTACGACAGATAGAATACGTGCACGGCAATAAAATTACTATAAAATAATATTAAACTATAATATTACTACTTTTAAGGCTCCCCACAATCTATTTTTATCAACATTGTTCATATAGTAAACTTTAAACGCTACTGATTATACAAAACGTCACTTGGGTCAAATAATGACTTCTGCACAAGAAAAAATGTTTGTAAATGTGATTTTTAATTCTATTTTTGTCACTTTTTATGCTTAATAGCTTAATACAACATCATTAAAGCCAGTACAACTGTAGGAATAGATATACAGGTGCAAAAGATTAGTATGCTTAAATTTACAGATGAGACAGTAGTATTAACTTCTAGCAAGGAGGAGTTAGAGATAGCTTTTAATGAAATGGAAGCGGTATTGACAAAACAGTACAGTATGAAAATAAATAAAAGAAAGCTAAAAATACTGGCATGCAAGGGAAGGAAAAGTAAGAAAAAATTAGAACAAGTGGCTCATTTTCGTTATTTATGAAATCAGACAAGTCAGGACGGAAGGATTAGTAGGGATATAAAGCAAAGAATAGCGTAGGATCGAGTCGCCTTCAATAAAAAGAAGCCACTTCTATGCTCGCGAACGGTTAATTTAGAAATTCTAAAAAGGTTGTTAAGGTATATGTCTGGGGCGCGACGCTGTACGGATGCGAAACATGGACGATGACTACGGCGGAAAAGAAACGTGGTGTTATAGACGAAGGATAAGGATACCGTGGATAGAGAAAGAATAGGAGAACAGAGGACTCCATGGAAGTTAATAAGAAATAGACGGAATAGGTTGGTAGGACACCTTCTCAGGCATAAAAGGCTAATCAGATACATATTTGGAGAATAAAGAGGAGTTAAGAGGGATAGAGGTAGACCTAGATTAGATTACTGTTGAGATATATTTATAGATGTGGCTTGTTCTAATTTCAGGAAAATGCAAAGATTAGCTCAGGATAGGAAAGAGTGTAGGTGCACGTCCAACCAGTCTTAGGACTAACGAGCTTATGATGGTGAATAATATCAAGGAAAGGTATAGTAACTAATTTTTTAATTAATCTAATAATAATATAATGACAGGCATAATAATGTTGCTAAACAGATACACTCGCTGTTAGCCAAAAAGTTTAAACTCATAGAACAGATAGAGCCCTACTACAAATACAAACCACAAAATGTATTAGAAAACCACTTAGCCAAGCTTTATTGGGATAGAGACGTAATTACAGATAAAACAGTTAATCATAACAGACCTGATATCACACTGACCATCAAAGACACTAAAACGACCTACCTAATAGATGTTGCCGTACCAAACACTGAAAATCTTAAACAAAAACATATTGAGAAAATTCAAAAATATATTCCTTTAGCAGATGAAATAAAAGATATGTGGAATCAGAACACAGTTCGAATTATTCCAATAATAGTATCATCAATAGGCGCTATACCTAAAACATTACACGCTAGTCTAGCCGAGTTGAAACTGCATAAGTTTATGTACATAAGTCTACAGAAATCTGTAATCCTTGATACATGCGGAATAGTGCGCAGATTTCTTAACAGTACTGACATATCCCCCTTTTCAGAAAACACAACAGGTTAAACAAGAAGCAGAGTTTTTAATACTCATTGATCATATTTTAGGGTAAGAAGAACCGTTAGCTCCCTAAATTTTTAGACCAGAAAATTGGTTTCTATATCCCAAAAGATGTGAGTGAGGTTCTTTGGCATTAGCCCGTCTTCACTTGCTCAATGTTACCAGTGCAAACTGAGAAGACCAGGAGAATATAATGATGATTATTTTGACTATTACACATATAGGACAGGATTGTCCCATAACGGTTGCGGAACTTTTTACTGCAGCGACATTTACCACTTAGAAGCTAGTATACGACTAGGCAAATCATCCGATTAATTGACTAAATCGATTATGAACTGACTATTTTCGATTAATCGAAATAGTCGATTGTTTTCTATAGTAGGTAATCGATTGTTAAATTTAATAATTTCCCAGTCCTAGTAGCGTCTAGTAATTAGATCAGCTGCATTTGAAAACGATCGTTCATTCGCCAATGAACTAATAAATCGGTTACTTTTGACGGCGTCCGTTTATATATATATTTCCCAGCTTTTCTAATTGCTCTAAAGTACCTATCTAAAAGTAGGTAGCTCTTTGTCAATTTTACTTAGAATTTAACTATTAAACATGCTAACCAAACGGTTTTGGTTAATTTTAACTTCTGGTTATTCTGGTGTTCCATGGTGTAATATGACAGGTAATATAATGATTCGTTATAATCCACAATCCGTCATTTAAGGGACATTTATAATTCTTTAAAATTGTTTACTTCATTAAAATAGAGTAAAATTATTCAAGCGGTGCTAATCTTATGCCTTCTTAAGGATGCCAAGAACATACAAACATAAAAGCAATCGTAAAGAACAGAGTCAAATTTAAATGATAGCAGCTTTGCAGGAGATGTAAGAAGGATCTACCTCACTTAATGAAGCTATAACGAAATATACCAAATCAATACTGAAGCATTACCTTAAAAACAGGCTCCTGGAATTCAACTTCCTGCTCTGACAGAATGTAGCAACCATGGTTTTGGGCTGATATGTTTTTCAAGTGAGAAAATTGACTTTCCAAAAGGCCGAGGAGATCAATCACAGATTTAACAGGGAGAATAAAACAGCGAATACAGACTGGTTTGAATCCTTTCAGAACGTCAATAGATTAAGTGTTAGATTACCCCAAAGCAACATCAACGACATAGTTTAGGATTTAATGGGGTGGAGATAGATATCTTTTTTTAAAAATTTCGGAAAATGTTACGACCAAATACCTATAATGTTTCAGCAGATCGGATATATATAATACTGACAAATCTGGTCTTACAGGATGCCGAAAGTAATAACTGTACTGAATACTTCCATGTCGAAGTTTATAACTGAAGGCCGAACCTGCCTTAGATAATTGTTTAAAAGTGACGATCACTAGAGATTTATAATAGCGTCTAGTGGTGACTACTCATGGCAACGGCTAGTAGTGAGTATGAGCTACGCGTGGCCGGTTCAAGTGACGACGACCGGCAAGTAATTGGCGGCTGTATACTCCACTACCTGTGGATTTTTTACAAACCTGTACAATGTTATTTATTCGCTTCTATTTTAATAACGTAATAATAAAAACGGAAACATCGGGGTGTGTTTAGAGATCGTTCACGCCTGTTATCAAGAAACTTGAACTGAAATCCTACGTAAGCAACAGGTACTATATTTCTATGAGATGCTGAAATCAAAATTTGAGAGTATAAATATTCTGGATTCTGCAATGTACCTACAAGGCCCTTGAAGAAGACGACTTGCTGAAAGAAATTGAACCTGCCGGTAGTATAAATGGAAATTCCTTCGGCTGTGTTTTCAATAATACAGATTTACGGGGAAATAGAGTAGATTGTCCGACTAGAATTGATGTGGGTGAAATGCGTTCGATAGTCAGTGAAGCCGATGTCACAAACAGAGTTTAAACGGTTCAGTGGTGATATTAAAAACTGATTTTGGGTGCAATTCAGAAACATACACATGCAGTCAAAACGATAAAATTGAGTACCTACATAAGTCACGCGAGACAACTGTTAATGTTTTCCCACTACAGGAGAAAACTATGCGAAAATCATCATCAAGTCGGGAGGACTTGCAAGTAGACGTTTATGAGCGGAAGTGGCTAAAGCGTATTTTGCATAACGCTGTCTCACAGCTTTCCGTTTTAAATGAAGAAATTGGGAGATGGTTACGTGCTTTAGAAACTTTGAGAGTCACTTCAGATAAATCTTCTACAATGCTATTCTCATTGATTGAATCATATTCGACGAGTAATTTGCTAAGGACCTGGTAGAAATCGGTCTTAAATAATCTTCCATCAAGCACTTCTTCGAGTAGTCACGTATCAGAACTCGGCAATAGTACATTAGAATTCAGTTGATCCTCAGTTTCAGCTGCTGGAAACTGAGACGTCACTAATAATAAGAAATCGGCGAACGTTAGCAATATCTTTTGTTACGGATCTGATGAATTCTTATTTTAAAGCGCAAAACCTTTCCTTGTAAGATAAGGAAAAAACCCTGACTGAAAAGCGCATTTGTTTTCGTTGCTTGAATGTTAGATACCAATAAGAAAATGCAACGGCCGTTTGCAATGGGTCTAAAGTTACAAGGTAATAAACAAAAGGCGATTGATAAATTGAATGCGG